TAGAGCCTTGGTCGGAACCGGTTCTAGCCCTGCAATTTTTGTTTTTTTTATCAGCAGGGAAGTTGAGTTTGTTAAAAATGATCACCACTTCTAACTTACCAGTGTTTTTTCTGCTTCTTTCATGCAATCGAGATCGCAGGTTGGACTTTCCTTGCAGCATCCTTGAACTTTTTGTTGAATTGCTTTTCCGCATTCACCTCAAAATAGGAAACTTGCTTTATTGTTCCCATATTTTTTCTTGTTATGAGTTGCTGAGGTTGATGGTGCTGAGCGTGAGTCACATTTCAAGATTTTTTGTGATTGGTGGTTCATCTACAGCAACCAATCAGTGCTATTAACGAAGTTTCGTGGAGATGGCTTCGTGTTAATTCAATTCCATGTTACTGCAAACTCACTTTGTGCTAATGCCTCACAGTCACCAGCAGCTTTGTCATCACCCAAAGTCTTCACAGTTTCTGGGGCCTTTTGTTCTGTGACTGGCTTCGGTTCGACTTTAGCTTCAAGTTTGGCAAGTTTCTGTTGGATCACGTTGAATCGCCTCTTCTCGGCATCGTTCATTTTCTGGAATGCGAAGAATTCGGCATTTTTATGTAATTTATGGGAAGGGAGGTGGGTTACGTGGTATACCTCGACGTTACAGTGTTCCCTCTCGGTTTGATATTGGCAGACTTCCAAAGTGACATCAATCCTGGAGATTCCATCTCGTTCCATGTTGACATCTCTGAAAGAAATATTTTACCAGCGGTACAGTTTGAGTTACCATTACCAGTTTGAGTTAATAGCAGTAATTAGCGCGTCATTTGTAGAGCGGCTGACCGCAAGTGATTGCCATGCCCTTTTTTCTTGTCTTTATCCATTTTCTCACTAGGAAGGGAATCCTGACCCAATTAGTCGCTGGTAAATTTGTTTCGGGCGCTAACAATTAGATTGGCCTATCGGGAAGGAATCAAAGGAAGTTCTGAAAGTGAAAGGGGTTCTTTTCTAGAAAGCATTGTTCGACTCTCAGGGGACTGATCCGCACCGTGTCAGTTACAGTTGGTAACTAGTAGGTAATATTTGGTGGCTAACGAATCAGCAATGAGAGGTGGAGACCCGAAGAAAATGTTCAATATAATAGGAGATAAAATCACGGAGCCAAGTGTTCGTTATGGAAATCTGGGCTTCAAACAGGGTTACCCCATATACCTTTCCTGATGTATCGAATTCTGGTAGCTACTTGAAGGCGCAGTTCACAGTGATTTTGAAGTGCCCTTCTTAGCGTAAAAAATGGAAAAATTGGGCGTGAGTAGTGTTCCTGTTTAGAAAAAAACCAGAAAACCGCAGATCTGCGAAACACAAAGCTCGTCAAAAGTAGAGGAAATAGTGGATTGTACGAGATTAACATGAGGAATATGGTAGGTAAGGGATATGTGGACGAGATCGCAGCTGTGCTATTCGCTGGCTACGGTAAACCGAAAATGCCAACCAATGCCTTTCACTTTTGTCAGGAGTTACAACAAGTTGCTTGAGTTTTCAACATGTGTGCTCCATTGCGAATGGCGCAGCCTCTGCGGCGCCGTTGAAGCACGTCCGCTTTTGGCTGCAGACGTGCTTTGACGACGAAAAACGGAAACTCGTCTTTGAGCCTTTATTGCGGCCTGTCTAGACAGTTTTTCGACCCGACAGCGTCTCATATGGCATACTTGGTCCCACAGATTCGCTGAGGTGGTCTCAGAAATCATTTGTGGCTCCAAGCGATGATAAGTTGATGGGTTGTGATGGGTGTCATGTTGAAACACTTTACGATTCGGGCTGAAGGAGGTATGCGTGGCGCAGTTACCCTACGAAATGCGATACACTGCTTGTTTTGTTTTTTCAAAGGCTTGTCGTTTCTTTTAGAAAGCCGTGTCTCCGCATTTCTGAAGCTGATGACGCTAATGGGTGAACCCTTTTTGCTTGAAAGCGCTATCGTTTTTTTTTCTGAAAGGATGATAAAAGACGTATGCTTAAGCTTTTGACGGATAAACTGAACCTGATATAGTGATTTGGGGCTAGCACGGGATTGGTGCGAATCGAAGGACCGAGAACAGCAATGGATTCCGTATCTCTCCATACGCACTTTTCACGTCCAGCTTCATCTGAAAATAACGATTTGCATTGGCGCCAATGATCCCTCCCCGTTTATTGATTGATAGCCCCAGTATTTCACATGATGCACACATTCGGTCATAGTGTGTTCGTCTTCATTGCAAAGACGTGAATACATGAAAAAGCTAGCACATTATCGTTCCTGTGTGTCCGGTATTATTTCTTCTAGCCACCCGGATATTTTCTCCCTTGCGTCGTCGGGCGTTTTTCTACCTTCTTGGACATGTTTGGCTTTTTTGGTTCCTTACAATTGGGCGATTACGGCTGTGAAGGTTACATTGAATGGGTTCTATTAGAGATTTCATTAGAATTTTAATTTACAGATATGGGACTCTGAGTTTTCAAAGTTACTACTCCGAATGAGCAAAGTTCAGCACTAACCAGTTTCAAGTCGTGTTGCCATCGAGGCACAGCACAAAACCATGAGAGATTTGGAACTGATGAGTAGCCCTGAGACGAATGTACGCCGTCCATGGAATGCTGGGAATGAGGCATGGGACGAGCAATTCCTACGCCATTCACATTGTGTCGCACAATGGTAGGGAATAAATCGGGCACAAATTGCCTGAAAATAGTCCCATACCGTAGGTCTGGTATAAAATTACTCGATTACTTCCTAACTTACATTATTGGATTCATAACTGAACAGTTTTTGGCCGACGTAACACTGAACGGCAGCGTAGGCTAGTGTAGGCAGAAGAAGTGCACCGAGAAATCGTAACATTCTGAAATGCGAAAATAATGAAAGTAGGCATTTTACAGTTAGTGGTTCCAAAGAAAGTAGGTAAAATACAGTAATTTGGCAATGATGAGGAGATTGGGAGTTGTTACTAGTGTAACTGGGTAAGTTACAAGAATATTGAGGAGAGGGGATGTAGGGAATACGTGGAGATGAAACCGTATGCGACATCTTAGACGACGATGGAGCTATGCGTATGATGCTGCCTTAGCATCTCTTCAGGTAGGCGTGGCTGGCGATGGTTTTCGCTACCTTTGGATGGAAAATCGCTTACGACGACGATCGCTGCTAGCATCACACCGTCATCAGTGTGTCGTTTGTATTTTTTTTTTCGTCAACGGCCGCCGGCGAGGAATAGAAGGGCTTACGTGAAAGTGGATGTAAGGTGGGAAATATTCCCCAAAAGAAAGCCATCAATTGAGAAGCAGCAGCTGTGAAACAGCAACAAAAGAACCATAAAGTGGGCCTCATTCAATGGGCGAAACCCCCCTCCCGTTTATATGAGTGAGCCGGTTACGTGCGCCTGTGAAAAGTTTCTGCATTAGGTTGAAGTTCTCCTCCTGGGGGGAAACCAGCTTTCGTTCTGGAGGATTGCTTTCACGAGGAGTTCAACCGGAGAGCGGGGACAGTTCTTCAATTAACTCCCCACATTCAGAATCATATGCATGCATAATCGCAAGTATGCGCAAGAAATTGGACGTGGGCCGATAGTTCCGGAATGGGAAAGGCGTAGGAGCGTCGGGTAGTGGGACAGTTGAGTGGAAATGCCCCCTGGATTCCTTGTACCCATCACATATGTAGATTTCACGTCGTTAATGATCCCAATCGCTGTCAACGCCGATTTATAGCATCCGCTTAAGAAGTCGGCTTCAGTGGATAAGGCGGAATATTGATGATGTTCAGTTGCAAGAAGAGGCATAGGGTTTTTTGAATAAAATGATTATTGAGCTGATTAATGGCTGATGGCGATAGGCTTGTAGGTTTGGGATTGGGTGAGGAAAGTCGGCTTCGACCTGTTGCAGTCGCCCATGAAACGGCAATAGTCCTACCCTAATGGGGTATTTAAAAAGGTGACGTCTGGTCAATGCTTTACACAATGTACAGCCTTAGACAGTTTTTGTGACAGAAACCATTCAACCAGTGACCTTTGTTTGTTGTCTGGGAATCGTCTGGGAATCATTAATAGGGGGAGGGTGTTACAGCATAATGATCGGTATGTTCAAGGTCCACAACCGTTTGGGTGCGTGTGCTGATCGGGCTACTTGCTGGGTGCCTATGCTGGTCGGGTTACTTGCTGCTGTTCTAAGAGTTTTCTCGGAATCAGATCTTCAGAGGGTATCAAGGGACTTGGAGAGGTCCATCCTGACACTTTTTTAGGGTTGAAAGGTGTGGCGTGGTTGTTTTCCTAACCATTCTTGGGATGGCCCTCTGAATGCTCAATAAAGATCAGCCGTAAGCCTGGTGGTCCTGTAGAAGTGGAGGATGACGAAAACTAGAGCAGGTAAAACTTTTTAAGACAGTTTAGGTTTTAAAATGGGCAAAAATAGTAGATGCCTAATCTCCTTCGCTCCAAACTTGTCTCAAATAGATGCCTCGTCTCCCTCACCCCGAACTTGTCTCATCATAGCCCAACGAGGAGGATGGACGAGTAGTTTGAGGGTAAAATTTGTCTCATAAAACAGTCATTAACCTTGTTCATGGCTAACACGAATGAAAGTGCAGCAAGTCTTTTTTTCCGGAGAAAGCGCTTCCAATTAAGTGGTCTCGGAAAAAGCAAAGCCTCCAAACTGGAGTTCATGCAGACTGTCTAGGTTGGATTACGGAAAGTTCTCAGTGCTCCTTTTTTGTAGCGATGCTCTCTATGTAGCCGGAGCCTACAAAAATCCCTCCATAGGTCCACCTCTGAGTTGTTTTATCCAGCTGCTTGAAGTTTCAGCCATAGCTCTATACGTAGACTAGTTATTTCCAACCAAAATTAGCCCAACCTTTGGTTCATTGGACTTTCAATCGGGGAATGGCACTTATTAACCAAGTAGAAGCCTTATATACCCAGCCCAAAAACGATCCCTCAAAGTAAATCGAATTGCAGGAGAGGAGGGTCTTCGGCCCAACAACCTCCGGAAGAGGATGTGCTAATGCGGGTTTTGTCATGGGTTCATGGTTTCAGTGAAGAGCTGGAGAGTCTTGAAGTTTTACCTGAGCATTTACGATTCGGATAATGAAAGCACCGATTCCAATGCCCTGAGTACGGTAACTTGGTAGTATAGGTAAAAGTAAGTCCAAGAAACGCTGTAAGGCTAGGTTATTACCGCCTATTTTTCCAACTCTTTGGACTTACTTGCTGAAAAGATTTCGTCGTGCAAACCTTATCAGTGAGTGACTTCACCCACTGTCAGGTCTCCTATCGAGATCGGAAAAACGAAGGTCCCAAAGGGAATTTCTTATCGATTTTTGACTTGAATTCAAAAAGTGAGGTATTTTGTAATGCCTCGAAATCATGGAATAGAGTAGTCTTTTGTATTCTACTGTAGTTTCAATAAGATTGTCACCCATGAAAAACTCGTCCATCCGCTTCAGTGGTAATCATCATATGATGTTGAAATTGGTCCAAAGATAGCCAACGTACGTGTTGTTCCGGGTTTCCCGGGGCAAGAGTAAATTGCGTCTACAGCAACCAAGTTGCTTCACCTCGGTTTCCCTTTGTCTACAAGGGTTGCCAGTTTCCTTAACGATTTTACCCACAATATAAAAGGAAATCGGTTTACAGTTCCAGTGATAGGAGAAGTTTGATCGTAGACGTACGTCCGTCTGTCGGTAATGTATCATTTTGGCTCGTAGCCAACGTGGTCTACAGGATACGATCAAAAATCGGCAATGTTTACAAGGAGATAGTCGGCACATCACAAAGGAAACGATGTCTAGTGGTTGGATAAAATGGTTCGGATGGTCTTGTTACATCCTTTCTTGATCGCGGCGATAAGCCAGCCCACAGTGGTGGTGGTGGAAGGGTTCTGTTTACGCTAGATTAGATACGATATATCGAAGACGATAATCCCAATGAAACTGAATCGATGTTGCGCATCCGATCGCCCCGTCGGCGATGGTCGGTCGAGGCTGGAACGATGGTGAACATGGCGCTAATGACCATAGGAGCCACCCATATCCGAGCAAACACGGGAGGGTTCACCGGTGGGTTGAAGTAATCTCCGTGTATCGTCAAGTTTTGGCCATAACAAAGGTCGTCGTCGTCGTAGTTATGATGGAGAAAGTGTGATTAGTCGACCTTATCTCAGGCTCTCGTCCCTTTCACTACCTCTTACTTTCTCACGCTCCCTTTGTTATGATGACGTTGTAGAGCATTCCACAATGAACCTGATTCAAGTCTCACCCCTTTTTTTCCCCGATTTACAGTCATAGGCAGATGCAATGTAGTGAAACGGGACGCATTTTTGATATCAGCGTTGAGAATGAAAAAACGCCAAGATTTCATTTCAGGGCCGATTAAGGAGGTTGTAGAAGTCTGGAAAGGATTATGTGATTAGTAAGTCTAGTTTGTGGTAGTTCAATAAGTTACTGCACAGGTTTTACTTACAGTTAAGGGTTTTGCCTGGCTTATATGGTGAGCACCCCTGGTAGGAATGGTTTCATCAACACAGAGGAGAAGATATGAGGCAATGAAAAGGGCAGTCCTGAGAAAGTTAGACCGTAGCAGGAGCTGACGTTGTGTAACCAGGCGAAATATCGACTGGGTAAGAGATCCTAGACAGCACGACAAATTTGATGCGTCGGTGTATCGTATGAACCGCCTGTCATCTGCCGTCCCGCTGTTTATCGATTTGCTTGAATGAGCGCCAAAAGGCCATAATTGGTTCCTGTAGCGAGCCAGTGTTGTCCAGTGGACCTTTTCGTTCGAGGGCATATACTATTCCCTTGGTTTAGAGCTTCCGTGAAGAATTATGGACATTAGGCTGAAGAGAGAAGGCTTGAGTTTGGTCAGTGAATGATCAGATGGGTCCGATTTCATGAGGGCCTAACTTATGAGGTGGAAGTGAACTGGTCGTAGAACATTCATTGGATCCACAACTACGATATGAACCTGTTCATATATTCTGCAAAGACGTTTCAGTTCTTCAACCGGTGCACCATATATCACCTTGTCAATGCCGAGCTGCTCTTTAGTAAATTTTCACTTATTTTGATAATTGATCACCGTGAGCTACTATATTGACGTCCATGACCGGTTCCTAAAAAACTATTCGGAAGTTCGTCTGAGTAACTAGTAATGAGTGCGGTTGGGTGACATTTTTATCTCGGCCAACCCCTAATACGATTAATTAGATCATTTTTAACTTGTTCCCTTGGCCACATTTTATTCGGCATTGTACGATGAAGGAGCAATTAGTAATGTGGCTTTTTCGACTCAGCGTAGTTCCGGAAACCAAGGGAAAATGCTGTTTCGAAGTCAGTGGGAGTCGATGATTTGATTAAGTATGTTGAGTATAAGCACAGTACATAGAAATGGTGCTAAGCTAACTCCTGAGGCTTTGTAAAAGTACAATAATTAGGTTCTTGAGCTTTCGAAGTTTCTTCTTTTCCAATGGAACATTGCTGACGCGTAGGTAAGAGAGCGCAGACAACACGAGAAACAACTGAGTCGTCCCGCCCGACTGAGTCGATATTTCTTGTGTCGTCTGTACTCTCTTACATACGCATGCACAACACATCAACGAAATGGAGTACCGAATAATTCGCGGTTTCAGGGACCTAACTGCATCTTTCGAAGCGCCTTGCATCGCCCGCTGGTTTTCACGTTACCAGAATACCACTCCCATTTTTTAAATCTTTCACGTATACACATTCGTATCATCTTACCAATCGTTTTTAAATTAAAGGGGAGACGGGCAATAGGAACGGCTTTGTGTAATCGATCCGCCGCACGCGGCTGTCGCGGTCCATTTGCCTCATTAAAACAGTTCTAGCGTTCTTCATACAGCTCAATCGCTATGCGATTATTACTTATGGCATGATTCTACTGTTAGTTCTTTTGTTCCTGAATTCCTTACTTGCTGCTGCACTCTGATACATTCCTTCGCGCTCGGCGTCTCTCTCGCGCGACGCGACAATTGCGTTCCTAGTGCACCACACCCTAGATACCTTTGTCTCTTTTCACCAGAGTTTCGAAATTTCTCGGGTTGGTATTCTTCGTGTCAGATTTTTCGATTGATTCTTTTCTTGTTTTCTTTCCAACTTTTTTCAATCAATTTTTTCTATTTGTATGCATGTTGGTAATTTGGTTTGATCACGACTATTAAGATAATAACATTAATTTTCAGCCCCTTAGTGCTCAACTTGGTGATCTTGACGATGCCGAAATGCCGGCATGGGATGACGATATCGATTCAACCCTCAATCAGGTGAATAGGTCGATTACTTCTTTAATGTTAAAAGAGGTTGCAAAGTTATTCAATGCCCTCCAGGATTATTCTGTGTTCAAACGAATTAAACGATTCTTCCGGGGTAATCTAGCACCCTTTAGAGTGTTTCTGAAGGAGGCTTGGTTGGCTCGGTTGACATTCGATCTGGGCTTTGATCCCCGGAAAATATATACAGTGGCTGTGCCATTTGTCACTTCCTCACCTTCACTGCCTTACAGTAACATACTTCCTCATTTTGTTATAAGACAAATAATTTGGTCTTTCTTTTGATTTTTATTCCCCCACTTCAACCAGAAATGTCTCCTCCTGTGTAGGAATGGAAGGATAGTGGAACAGGAAAAGGGATAGATCAGTTTCTGGTGGTCCCTAGATTCAGAGTGTCATTTGAAGTATAAAATTCCTTCCTTACGATGAGAACTGCTATGCTGAGATGGGATGCGCTCGAGGTAAACTCGACAAAATAAAACAAGTTGATTGATTTACAAGTGATCTGAAACGTTTTGCAATGTCTTTTAATGTGTTGAATAATTACACCATATAATTAATTTAATTTAGTTTAATTGAATTTATTAATTAGGTTTCCTTTACTTTTTATAATGAATGTTTTTGAAGCATCGTGCTGAGAAACATCGCCAGCGCATGGAAGAGCACGATCGTCGTCTGAGGGAGAAGCGAGGTCAGCGAGCAGCAACAGGAGGTTATCACTATGAAGGTGATGCAACCCATGGTATGCACGGAGGTGTTCCTCAGTAAGGGCCAAAGTTTCACTTGTGATAATTAGATGTTTATGATCATAAGATTATTGGGTTCGTTTTCTCTGTCCCGAGTGTTTGAGGGACGTTCCCTTCCTTTGTTAGCCATCCCTCTATAGCTCTGATTCGAATTTTATCGAGTTTTATTTTGGTGCCAGACTTGCTCCTATGCTACATTAGGTTAGGGTGTACGCTGTTAATCACGTCATGGCAAGGTAGCCTGTATCGAGAGGCTATCAATTGTGATGATAAATTTCACTTATTCGAAAAATCAAAAGTCTTTTTATCATTGGGTAGACTGGTCTGAGATTCGTGGGAATCCGCCATGTGAATCGATCGAGTTTGCCGCGCCGCGACCGCACGCGTCTCAGACCAGCTGACAATGATATGAATTGTAAGAGTTGTTCGTGGTATGCTAATCGAGATGTCACCTGATCTCCTAGTCCTTTTCGTTTTTTATGTACTTTTTTGCCTTTCTACTGGTTTCTACGTAATATCATTCGATGATTCTAATTTCCTCTAGTACATATGAGAATATTCTATTCTTTTTTTGATTTTTTTCGTTGTGTCTGTTGGCTTGGGTGTCCATTTTTGGGCGTATAGTGGGAGTTAGTGCTGCAGAATATAATTCGGGCGTTATGATAAAGTTTTTTTTGAGAAGTTTTGCGTACTGAGGGCTAGAGAAGTATGGTCATCCTGGATTTTGTGTGTGATTAGTATTTATTGATTTTTTTACCGTGTTTTATGGATATTTTTATTATCCAGTAGAACTCGTACACTTGCATGAACATATCCAGTCCTCGATTTTTTGATATATACTCACCTAGAACATGCTTAGCGTTGGCGTACCGTAGGTAGGGCAGTGCCCAGAGCTTTCCGATGCACCGTAGGCAGATAAGATTTCTAAAATTATTCTGACCTTAGGAGGTGAGCAGTGACGAAGTGACTCACCAATGAGTTCAGGCAACTTGTAAAACCGTAGGTTTGAGGTACCGCCCAGTGTTGCTAATCGAACTCTAATGGGCGTTATGCTCATCTTGGTTGTACTCCGAAGGGGATTACAATTGTATATTCGATTCCCACGGTCGCAAGCATGCACGCTGCATTCTTTTCGGGCAACTACCGAGATCGACTACTGGGAACTGAAACGTTACCTTTACAGGCGAGCGCGGACCGTCGTAGGACTGCAAGACCCCACATCCCTTCAGTAAACTAATAAATCTTCAGATCTTATCCATTAAGAATTAATCCAGCCTGTTCGGTAGTCGAAGAGTACATAATATTTATCTTAGCTCTGATTTTTAACCCCCCCCCTCCGTGCCAGAAGAAGGTTTGTCTTCGGGTCTTCGACTGGCTCCTGACGATTCTTTGGCCACTTGTGCAACTTGCATGGGAGGGAGTAGGTTGTACAAGATGTTCTTGTCCTTTTGAGAATGCACTTTCATGAGATTACCACGTTTTTTATATTGTCGTACCCGGGGGCAGAGATTAGGTGAGTTCCATTTTTTGAGTAGAACTTTCCCTGTCTTCTGTTTGAGAACGCTGGGGAAGTTTTCGAGAGAAGTTTTACTCGGACTGCTCCTTGGGACCATGGAAAACCGTGATTTTTCGGGTCTTGCGCTGAACATACATCTCAAAATGTTTCGGTTGGTTTTGAAGGAGGTGTTATCAGGGGAAGGCCAGTGCGGATCTCAAAGGATCTCGGTCTGGGAGGCTTCTCTGTACTAATATGTGACACTTAGATCATTCACGACTTCATTCCGAAGCTGTTCAACCATAGGACACTTCAGTAAATTTACCTTTTTTACTGGTAACTAAATTTTTTTCCCTAAGGTTCTCGCCATTCCTACGCTTGTAGAATCTCAAATTTCCCAGTAAGGGATCTCCCACTAGTATCACACAGTGGAACAGAAGAGACCGTAGACGCCAAGAGCGTACCCGTCATGTCTACGGTGCATCCAGACGAAGCTAACAGAGATGCCTTTGGAGCGGTACGTTAAGTGAATGATCCTGTAATCAGTCAGAGGATATCTCCTCGGCTACTGTACCACTGACTACGAAGACATCAGGTCAGTGTATTCCACCCTTTCCCAGAAAATTCTTTAATCATACCTCCTTTGCGGTGGTTCAAAGTTGTTCTTCATTTTTTATTTTTTGTATATGTGCACTTTACTATGAATGAGGCTATTGCACATTCACAGAATCTATGAGGAGAAAGGGCGACATCGTCGTTAGGCCTGTCCAGGCCATATGTCCATCAGGCTCCTCCCTCAGGAAAGACTGAACGTCGACCAGAGTCAGATGGCCATAGCATGTATAGTGGTGAGTGAGCAGAGTGATTCAGACTCCCATGGTGGGACTCATCTTCACCATCGCCGAAGGGAGTGAGCTCATAGCAGACACGCAGACATACCCCATTCGGGACTCAAAAATTCATGGACATGGCCCAGTGACGACAAGAGACGGCCTGTCCCAGTTGTGTGTGTACGACACCATGCGCGAGATCGTTCACATCCAAGCCGGTCAGTGTGGTAACCAGATCGGATCCAAGGTAAGTCACGTCGTGCTGTCACAGTTCACTAATTATTTTCTTTCTGATGACAAAAGGTATGGATAAACAAAATTACCGTCGTGCTCGAGAGCCCACGAACTTTTTGACCCATCAGTTATGGGAATTGCGAAGTTGTCAGCCTGCAGATGGCCGTTTTCCAAGGTACGGAAGCCCCAATCTAGCCTGAATGTGCAGGCTTCTAATTCGAACGCATCACCTGAATCCCGTTGGGTCAGAATCCGAAGAACCTGGTGAATAGAACAGTCGGGACCGCTGGGTGGGGTACCCTCTGGCATGGTAGCAAAAACGAAGGAGGTCCTTCTGAAACTGCCGCATGGGTCTGCAAATCTTGGATTCTGGGAGCGTTTCGACTCTCAATGAAGCTCTCTCAATGAGCAAACCACTTGTCATGGGTCTTTTTCGGATACCCAATCTATGACCCGAATAAGACCCATTGAAAACTCCCAATCCACTGAGTTACTTTTCGACACCCTTACTTTTGGTCATTGGAAAAGCTTCAGAGGTCCATGGGGCTTAGGACTCATTTTAGGTCGCCCATTGATTGACGCCATTAACTTGAGTGATAACTCTCATTGAGACTTTTCTCGAGGGAATTCATTCAATTAATGTGGTTGCACCACTCTTTGGAAGATTGGTAACAGCAAAGAAAACCATGACATTGACGTAGTTTCGTGGACGCTCTCAGGAAATACGACTACCTCGATTCAACTGGTAATCTCAGGGCTTAAACTCTGGCTTACCCGAATGCGTAATCCAGACCACAGAGCGCCAGCGTCTTGGTGTTTTTTGCTGATGCCAGTAATTAGCTATATGAATGGCATTTCGTACATCTGAGCCCGTTTTCTTGAGAAACATGGATACCATGGGAAATCATTCAAACATTACTTATTCATGTACTAAGTTATGTATTCGGTAAGTTGCCGAGAAACCTTGCGGTGCTGAAATTGTGAATTATGTTGTTATTTACTATTTACATCTCCAGCAATCCGGTCACGAGTAGGGCTACTACCACACTCATGGT